TTGAACTTCTACCAATTGTCACCTCACTTGTCTCCTCTTGATGAAAAAATTAAGGAAAATTTCCTGAGAGTGTTGTTAAAAAATTGGAGAACTACATACATATAAGGTTGTGTTTATTTTGAAGGAATATTGGGTGAAATTGGATTATTAATTTTACCGGGTTAATAGTTTTTCCGAATTATTAATCTTACAAATATGAGATTATCCTATCTCATGGGGGGTGGGATAGAAACCATGTAATTGGTATCCCATGAGATTATTTTGTGAAATGTCCATTTTATCCTCCATACTATTACTTAACAAACAATTAGAAAATGTTAAAATAGTCTTTTGAACATTTATAAATTATTTTTTTAATGTTATTAATTTAAAATTATATATTAAATAAAAAAATTAAATTATAAATTGTAAATTAAATTTAATTAAAAATAATAAATTATAAATTATGGCCTTATAAATTGAATTTTTTTAGTGTTGTTAAAAAATTAAATTCACATATTAAATTAAATTATTTTTTTAATGTTGTTAATTTAAAATTATATATTAAATAAAAAATATAAATTATAAATTAAATTTATTTAATAACGCCATTTGTAACCTTTACTCAAAAATGTGTTCAAAAAAAAAAACCTTTACACAAATCTGTCGTTAAATTAACATTTGAGGAAAAAAGTTTCAAATGTCAGCTCTATTCCTGCTATCAAAGTGATATCAAAAGAAAGAAGTGGGAGATTTTTCATTAAATCAATAGAATAATTTTTTATCAAATTTTATGAGTGACCGTTGGTGGACAACCTTTCAGACAATCAATTTCAAGTGAAAATTTACTCTTTGTTGAACAATTGACAGAACAACCGATAAAATTGATGAAAACGATTAACTACTAAAATATTAAATTATTTTTTTTATTAAATTTTTATTTAATCTAACTAAAAATAATTAAAATATTAAAGCTATGTTTATTTAATCTAGCTAAATTAATGAAAAAAATAATATGGGAGGATTTGTTTGGGAAGTGGGTTGGTTTTTTATTTTTTTGATTATTTTAGTTTGGAGTTAAAAAATTTCGTTTGGGATAGATTTTTTGATTTTTTTGACTTTTTTAAAAGAAAAAATGTAATAATTATGAATTGAATGTGATGTTTTGTGTTAAAAAGCTTTTCTTTTTTGTGACTAAACTAGCCCCAAATCCAATCCAACCCAAGTTGCGAAACGAAGGCTGAGTAATTTTTTTTCTTCTCTCATTGCATATAGTTTTTTTAAAAAAAATTATATTTATATTTATATTTTTAATTATTAATATTTATATAATTTATCATTAATTTAAAAATATTTTTCTAAATATCTACTTAAATGATTTTTCTTAAAAAAAATTATTTGATAAATTTGAAACTATTGTGACGTTTATTAGGTTATTTCTTAAAAATCATCACAAGAATTTTGATGATGTTGACGTAATATTTTTATATTATTTATGTTGTAATATTCGTACTATTTTGTTAAAAATCAATTTAAAAATAATAAATTCATTATTTAAATCAATAAAAATCAAGTTAAGAATATTTATCCCAATACCGCCAAATAAAATTTCCCTTCCATTCGATCTCTCTGGCTCCGTCCCTAGCCAACAGCAGGTTATTATATAGGTACAATCGGAGTTGGGTTCTTGGGGTGGCATAAGCCACAGTAAGTTATGGGGACCATTAACGTTGTGTTTGGTTAAGAAATTTGGAGAGAAATTTAGAAAGGGAAAGAAAAAAGGTGTGTGAAATTAGGTAAAATATAAGCATAGTTTATTCACATTTCACTTGTTTTTTCCATTTCCCTTTTCAAATTTCTTTTCAAATCTCTTAACCAAACACAACATAAGGGTTTGTCCTGAGTTTTTTTGATAATTCAAATAATTTATATTGTAATGTTTTTTGAGTAAATTATCCATTCAAAAAAATAAATAAATTGGACATTTATAACCTCATAATAAGAACACATTTATTTTTAAAAAATAAACGGTTAACATTGTTTGAATATTTTTTAAAAAATAATTAAGACTTGGTCATGGGATTATCGATGCCCAATAAATTTAATTTTTTATATGGATGATATATTTTGCAAACCTTACAATATAAACAATTTAAATTATTAAAATAAACTTGAAAAATACCTCTAAAAGCCCTCATATAGTAGGGGTGTTGTGTCTTATGGCACATCAACAATCCTAAGTCCGGTACAATCTTATAATCTCTATAAAAAATTTGGAAAATGTATGAGACCCCCAGTGGGGGTGCTGGAGTCTCTTCTCATTGGCCCAAAAAGGCTGTGTTTTTTTTTAGCCAATGGCAGCCCCCACGTGGCACTGGAGGTCCCCAGCAGAGCCCAAAACATTTATCAAATTTCTTATGAAATGATAATTATCAAACTTCTATGTCAAATTTGATAAAAACTCTATTGCTACCTATAATAGGATGAGGTCTACAAATAATATTTTAATTTGATATTTTGTAAAAATAAAAAATATACCATTCACACAATTAAGGTAGAGTTGCAAAATTACTATATTTTAGCACCGTAGTTTCTTTAAGATTAAATTTAAAATTATTATTTTGATATAAACCAATAGGGACTTTTACATATTGTCACTTAACTGTATACCTACCAAAGTACTAAATTAGTGGGATGAGATTTATCTCATCTCATCTCACTCTTATCTCATCTCTAACTAATTTTATTACACTGCTATTACCAGTTGATATAAGGCAACTCTAGTAGTTGGATACAAAAGTTCCAAGCAATTAGGATCGAATTGATGTCATCCTATCTATAAATAATTTTATCACAATTGTCTTTATCACTTAGGGGTGTGCATAATACCGTCAAAACCGCCGAAACCGCACCGAACCGCACCGCCAAGGCAAATTCATTATTATTTGTCAATCGAACCGCCGGTTTTTGGTAAGAAAAATGACAAATTCTAGTGACACTTTTATCAATCCGCCACCCGCCATACGGTTTCTATTTTTCTCTCAAACCACACCGACCCGCACCGCGCGCACCCCTAATATCACTTGATATACTCTAGTAGTTGGATACAAAAGTACCAAGCAATTAGGATCGAATTGATGTCATCTTATCTATAAATAATTTCATCACAATTGTCTTTATCACTTGATATAGCGTATTTGTAGTAATTAGATTAGATAAATTCATTACATTCTGATTTTTTTTTATTATATTAATTTATACAATAGTAGACATCATAAAAGAAATATATTCATAAAAAATTTTCACTCTTAAATTAGTCTGTAATATTTTATTATATGTTATGCAATTACTCTTAACCTCTGTTTGCTAAGTGGGTTTGCAGGTTTTTTTGGCTATTTTAACCACAAAAAACAAAATAGGCTATTTTAGCCATAACAAACAAAACATCACATCCAACCCATAATCATTACATTCTTCTCTCACAAAAAAACTCAAAAAAGCCCTTCCTAAACCAAGCTTTTAAGCCCAGGCTAAAATAGCCAAAAAAGTCAAAAAGTCAAAAAGTCAACCCACTTCCCAAACGGAGGCTTTAAGTGGGTTTGTAGGTTTTTTTGGCTATTTTAGCCACAAAAAACAAAATAGGCTATTTTAGCCATAACAAACAAAACATCACATCCAACCCATAATCATTACATTCTTCTCTCATAAAAAAACTCAAAAAAGCCAAAAAGCCCTTCCTAAACCAAGCTTTTAAGCCCAGGCTAAAATAGCCAAAAAAGTCAACCCACTTCCCAAACGGAGGCTTAGATTAATTTCACAAAAAATTAATAATATTTATTTCATGATGTATAGTATTATTCTAATGAGAAATTTAGTCAAAATCCTTCCATTGGGCTCTTGTTTGGTGAAAAAGACAATCCAATTTATTTTGCTTCATAAAAAAAAACACCGACAATGCTACGTAACTCAAATTTTGTGGCTCAAAAGTGGCTCAAATAACCAAAACGACGTCGTTTTGAGTACAGAACAACATAAAAATGGCCAAAACGACGTCGTTTTGGCCATTTGAGCCACTTTTGAGCCACAAAATTTGAGCTACGAGACATTTTTCAAAAAACACATAGTTGAGTAAGGACAAAGTAAAATATATATTTTTTTTCTTGGACAATATTACCAAAGTAGCATATTACTGTGAACTAAAGTAACATGTTATTGTGAGACAAAGTAATATGTTACTGTCAAATCGAGTAACATGTTACTGTTACTGTTTACATGAATTTCGATGATAATTTTTTTTTATATAAAGAATTTCATAGTCAATATAGATCTTAATAAATTTTGATGAGAGAATTTTAAAAATACTAATTTTATTAAAACCTGACATCTACATCAAAAGTTATATTATTTTAATAATAATGGTATATGTCAGACTTTTCAAAAAAAAAATTTATTCTTATTCTTAATGTATTAAAATTTTTTTGTGAACGTATTTTGACAAATCCTCCTTATTCTAATTTATAAAACATTTTAAGAGTAATATAATCGATGAACATTGTTATTTTAAGTTTCCTGATTAAAAAATATAAAAAATAAAAAAATATGTTTTTATGTGACATGTTAAATTATATCTAAATTTAAAAATCAAACTTATATATTATTCTCCTATAATTGATACAGGTGGCAAGTCAAATATATTTGTTTTGTAGCAGGAACCTTCACGCACAACGGCAATCTGACCGTCCATCCTAACGTGATGCGAGCAATCGCACCCGTTGCAGACGAAGTCGAGATGAGTCAGACACGTGTAAAGTGGACACGTGGCTATAATCGTTCAATTAAATCCAGATTATTTGAATCTTATCCGGATCTAATAAAATCCTATATATACGCCCCCCCCTCTTCTTTTCCTCTCGTCTCTCATCGCCATCGTCTTCAATTTCAAAACTTCCACTCCAATTCACAAAAAACTCTCTCTCTCTCTCTCTCTCTATTTTCTGTTTGATTTGATTGATTGTGGGATCATGGCTATGAGTTTGCCACAGCAGATAGGAGCTCTGTCGGGGACGCCGATAGTAGCGGATTCAGGGACCGTTTCCGGCGATCCTAAGTCGGCGACGGTGACCGCGTCGGCGGTGTGGAGGTCGCCGTCGAGGAGCCTCCGGTGCATGGCGGCGAGGGCGGGGGAGATCGATCGGATATCGCCGTCGCCGCCGCTGAGCCCTAGGATGGGACTAATGCGGCCGGACTTATCGGTGGCGTGCCAGGCGCTGATGGAGGCGGCGCCGGCTGAGGAGGTGGTGGTGGTGAGGGAGTACAAGGAGGGGGGTGCGAAGGTTAAGGGGAAGGGGGTGCCGGTTTACGTGATGATGCCTCTGGATAGTGTTACGATGGGGAACGCGGTGAACAGGAGGAAGGCGATGAATGTGAGTTTGCAGGCGCTGAAGAGTGCTGGAGTGGAGGGGGTGATGATGGACGTGTGGTGGGGACTGGTGGAGAGAGAATCTCCGGGGGAGTATAATTGGGGAGGATATTTGGAGCTCATGGAGATGGCGAAGAAGCATGGCCTCAAGGTCCAGGCTGTCATGTCGTTTCATCAATGTGGCGGAAACGTCGGTGATTCTTGCACGTGAGTCTTGCTTTATTTTATTAACTCATTTTGGAACTATTTTTCTATTTGTCATTTATTTATTTATTATTTATAGTTGGTCTAAGATTGAGATCTGGTAGTGGAATGTCAAAGTAATCAACGTGTTTGGTTCATTTTTTCAACTCATTTTTTAGAAAATTTTAAACTTTCTGTTTGGTTAAGTTCAAAAACGAAAAAAAGGTTTTCAAAATCTCAATTTTCTGGATATTCTTTTTTCTTTGTTCGTCTGGTCATTTGAGAGCGGGACCACAGGAAATCACAATTTAACTCCTTTTTATTTATTTATTTATTTTTGATGTGAGTTTTTTTTAAAAAAATGATCCGGATCCCTTTCCCTATCTCCTTTGACCCCCTCTTTTTGATCGGCCAAAAATTTTTTTTTTCCTCTACTCCTTTAATCACCACCCGCCACGTGCGTGGAGTGGTGGGTGGTGATTCGAGGGGTCTCAATCACATCCCTTGGTTGAATGGTTGGTTGTTGTACGGTAGACCCAAAATCCTATCCTAACTCCCATTCAATTTGTTTTTGAAAAGTTGATAAAAAATTTGTTTTTTAGTTTTTTTTTTTTTTTGATTTTTTCTGGCTTTTTTTTTGCGTGAAAAAAGAGAGGTGACTGGTTTTTTATCAGTTTGCCAAAACGTCCCTTATTGTAATTATAAATTTCATTCATGTATGTTGGGTTTATGAATTTGTTTTCATGGTATATATGAATTTTTCTACGGATTACTTGATTACGAACTTGCCCTCGAATTAATTGCGAAAAGTTTCTTTTGTGATGTTTGTTTTGCAAAGTCATTTTAAAATATTTTGTACAAAATATGTTCTCCTAATTTTCATAAGCATACAAAAAAAAATTTGTAGACATTTTTTTTTTTTGTGATGTTTGTTTTGCAAACATACTAATGAGTGAAAGTTATTTTAAAATATTTCATACAAAATATGTTCTCCTAATTTTCATAATCGTAGAAAATAAAATTTGTAGACATTTTTTTTTATGGGCTCATGTAATTTGAATAATCGTTTAAAAAGTATTTTTGATTTTCTATAGTTAATAATTTTCATAATTTATAATAATCTTTTAAACCGTACTCATGTGGCGTTTATAATCTTGTAAGGAAATTATTTGTTTATTTATTAATTACGTATTAGACATACTTCATCTTCATAAATGTAAGTTTTTAAAATGTTGTATTATAATTGTTAAAAAATTATATACAATACAACAAAATATGAGCTTCCTCAATTTTTTGTATGGTTCCAACTTGTCTCAAGTTGAGATCAAGATTGGATCCGTCCAGTTCGGCCCATGGGGCCTATTTTTTGGGCCCGTTTTGATAATCCGAACCGTTGAATGTGTAGAACTCGTCAAGTATTACATGCCTGTACGTTGATCGGATATCAATAGCTATGACGGTGAAAAAATTAATAATTGATAAAAAACTGTTTTGTTCATGTAGCTATCGATATTCGATCAACGTGATTTTTTACAGGCATATAGTACTCGACGATTTCTACACATTAAACAATTCGGATTATGAAAAGGGGACCCGTGGTGGGCCCTCACGGGCCCAACAGTACAGTCCAGTCCGATCTTGGACTGGACCAAAGCCACTGCCTTTTTCTATTAACAAATCTTTGTAAGCATTTAAAAATTACATTTATAATTTTCTTTTAAATGTTCTTTAGCAAAATTTATTTTGTCACAAAATTTCGAAACGTTGACATGTACATGCGTATCATCATAGAAATTGGTGGCAAAAAAATGTACAAAAATTTGTAGTTGAAGTTGGGAAAGTTTGTAAGGCTGCGTTTGGGAAGTTGGGTTTGGGCTAAATTAGCCACTAAATGACAAAAGTGGCTAATTTAGCGACAAACGGACAAAAAAAAGTTGGGAGCATGGCTGCAACAATTTGGGAAGTAAATTTACCATACTACCCCACATGAAAGAGGGGTAGCGTCAACCCACAGAAAGTAAAAAAGAAAAAAAAAAAAAATCAAATCAGGCTTTTTACCAGGAAAGACAAAGAAAGTTGAAAAAAAAAAATAAAAACATTTTTTTTGTTTTTTGTTAAAATATTTTATGAAAATAAATTTAAACTATATTTGTAAATATACATGTATTATTGATTGATTGTTAAGTGTTGTATGTTTACAATGTTTACAATTCCTATATATAGAAGAGAAGGTGGTAGTAGGTGTAGGTGAAGTGGAGTGGGTGGTAGTGGAGGTGGTAGGTGGAGTGGGTGGTAATTTACATTTACAAATTACATTAACAGCCCCCCTCAAACTCAAGGAGGATAGGTACTAGCCAACTTGAGTTTGGAGAGAGTAACAAAACAGAAAAATAAACTGATAAAATAAAATAAAACAGGATAGGAGACACGGTATGGTCGTGTCAGACCGTTGTAGCAGACAGTTTACGGGGTCATGTCGGACCGTTGAAGCAGACACTGTGTGGTCGTGTCAGATGTAGAAGACAGTTTACGGGGTCATGTCGGACCGTTGTAGCAGGACAGTTTACGGGGTCATGTCGGACCGATGTAGCAGGACAGTTTACGGGGTCATGTCGGACCGATGTAGCAGGACAGTTTACGGGGTCATGTCGGACCGATGTAGCAGGACAGTTTACGGGGTCATGTCGGACCGATGTAGCAGGACAGTTTACGGGGTCATGTCGGACCGATGTAGCAGGACAGTTTACGGGGTCATGTCGGACCGATGTAGCAGGACAGTTTACGGGGTCATGTCGGACCGTTGAAGCAGACACTGTGTGGTCGTGTCAGACCAATGTAGGTTATCCCTCTAACAGGAGTAGGAGGTATGTGTAAGTGATATGTGTTGAAAAACTCCCGCGGGCAGCGAAGGCAAGGTTGCCGGCCGGCTGCCCGCCGGAAAGAAAAGAGTATAGGTCTAAATCTTATGGCTCTGATACCATGTAAATATACATGTATTATTGATTGATTGTTAAGTGTTGTATGTTTACAATGTTTACAATTCCTATATATAGAAGAAAAGGTGGTAGTAGGTGTAGGTGAAGTGGAGTGGGTGGTAGTGGAGGTGGTAGGTGGAGTGGGTGGTAATTTACATTTACAAATTACATTAACATTCGGGAAGGTCATTATAATTTACCCTATTGTAATAGTAGTAATAGTAGAAGATATTGCACTTTATTAATTATTGGAGTAGGTGGTGGGTAGTTAAAAGATAAATGGGGTAGGGGTAGGATAACTAATACCACACTAATTTAATAGGATTATTAATACCTCACTATTAGTGTTGTGAATCAAACATGGCCTAAGTGTAGAGTTATGATTTGGTTATTTAAAATACGCAGGGACAATATAATAAATATTTTATGTGTTTGGTTACGATTTGAGTGTAGAGTTGTTTTCAAATTGAAAATATTAACATTTTAAATTATTTAAATTGAACATTATTTAAATTATCCAATATTAACATTATTTAATAGTAACATTATTTAAATTATTTAAAATTAAAAAAAATTTTTATCCAAATTCGGTCCTCCACTGAGGGAGGACCACTTTCATTGCCACAGGTACAAGTTGAACATAAGGGGCAGTTTGGTAATTTAATAGTAAGACACATTACCAAAAAGTCAAAAAGTCAAAAAAGTCCTTCCCAAACCAGGCTTTTTAGCCCAGGCTAAAATAGCCAAAAAAGTCAAAAAGCCAACCTACTTTCCAAACGAAGGCTAAGTTGGTTACGATTTATTTTTCATGCCAATTTGTGACGAAATTATATATTTTGTGGTAAATTTTACAAAATTTTATTATAAATTCACACATTTCATGGTAGAATATGCACTCATAAATAGGTACATATTAAATTATGTTTTGATACATATATGGCATGTACATATATACATAAAAACAAACATGATACAATTTTTGATGTGACAAATTTTACTTTTATTTTTATATCAAAATGTTTCCAGCCCTCTCTCTCAGCTTGTGGAGGGAAGATTCAAATTGCACTAGTGTGTTTTTTTTTGAAAACCAAACATATATCCATTTCAAAACATAATTTTCAAATCACTTTTTAAAACAATAACTCAAAAAAACGAAACCAAATATTTTTCAAATTGAACTTGTAGCTTAAGATAAAGGTACCAACTTTGAATTGAATTTGTGTTGAGTTGACCATCTTGATCTAGTGCAAAGGGTTCTGGCCTAATTCAATTGGGTGCACAATTAATGAGTTGAGGTTATGCAATAAGCTTTTTTAATAATTTTTTGATTTTTTTATTAAAATATGATGTAAAAAAAATTAGTATATTTGGAATGACTTTTTGATTTTTTACGAAAAGATGTGCAAAAAGTAGAGAGAAAAGAAATTTTTGATTTTTTAGTATAGGTTGTTGGCTTTTTAGTTTTTTAATGACTTTTTGACTTTTAAGCTAAAAAGTGATTTTACCAAACGAGGCCTAGTATTGAGGTGTGATTTGTGGAATTACAGTAGGTTCACCCTTTTTATGGTAATTTAATAATTTAACATCCTGTTATGTTATGAAGGGAAATTGAATCAATATGTGAAGTAATTTAACTCCATAGATTGCCAATATATGCTGTACATAATGATGAGAAACAAATTAAAATCCCACTAATGGGTTGGACATCATAGGATTGTATTTACTTTTTCCCTAACATTTACTATGCTTTTTATGTACAGGATCCCTCTGCCAAAGTGGGTTGTGGAAGAAATTAACAATGACCCTGACCTTGCCTACACAGATCAATGGGGAAGGAGGAATTATGAATATTTATCTCTTGGCGTTGATACTCTTCCTGCCCTCAAAGGACGTACACCTGTCCAGTGTTATGGTGACTTCATGCGTGCTTTTAGAGACAGATTTGAGCACCTTCTAGGGGACACCATTGTGGTAATCACGGGACCCCTAAAATTTTCCTTTTAGATGGTTTATTGGTTTATGCTTTCTGAGGTTTATGTTATATGTCGTTGCCCTAGCTTCTGTTAACCTGGCCATTTTAGTTTCACATCTGTGGGGATAAATGGAAGCATTGCAAATGCTAAACCAGATGTGCATAAAAACTTGAACAACCAAAAAGGCCAGTGCAGCATGTGCTGGTGTGTCATGTAAGCATGAAATCTCCTATGCAAGTTTGTTGATCTCTTTAAAATCTGTCTGATTGATTTAGGAAATCCAAGTTGGAATGGGTCCAGCTGGTGAGCTCCGTTACCCATCATATCCAGAGCAAAATGGGACATGGAAGTTTCCTGGAATTGGAGCCTTTCAGTGTTATGACAAGGTAAGCACCCTCGGTTCCTCTTTTGTTCTTTGCTTTCTTTGTTATCTTTCACTAAATTGAAGCCTACTGTGCTTATGATTCCCTTATCTTATACAAATTTTGTGCATTACTGCAGTACATGCTCACTCACTTAAAAGCGGCAGCAGAAGCTGCCGGTAAGCCAGAATGGGGCAGCACAGGCCCAACAGATGCCGGGCACTATAACAACTGGCCAGAAGACACCAACTTTTTCAGAAAGGAAGGTGGTGGTTGGAACAGCACTTACGGTGAATTCTTCCTCACCTGGTATTCTCAGATGCTTGTGGACCATGGAGAGAGAATATTATCATCAGCCAAGGCCATCTTTGAGAATGCAGGTGTCAAAATCTCAGTTAAGATTGCGGGAATTCACTGGCATTACGGGACTCGGTCTCATGCCCCTGAGCTCACAGCAGGGTATTATAACACTCGTTTCCGCAATGGGTACCTTCCCATTGCCCAAATGTTAGCACGCCACAGTGCCATATTCAACTTTACCTGTATTGAGATGCGAGATCATGAGCAGCCACAGGATGCCCAATGTGCACCCGAAAAGCTGGTTAGGCAAGTAGCGTTAGCTACTCAGAAAGCTCAAGTTCCACTTGCTGGGGAAAATGCGTTGCCACGGTACGATGAATATGCACACAAACAGATTTTACAAGCATCTTCTTTGAATCTTGATGGTGATTCAGGAGAAGAGAGAGAGATGTGTGCGTTCACGTATTTGAGAATGAACCCGGACTTGTTCCAGCCGGAGAACTGGATACGGTTTCTGGGATTTGTGAAGAAGATGAAGGAAGGAAAGGGGGATAACCGGTGTTGGGAGGAAGTGGAGCGGGAGGCAGAGCATTTTGTGCACGTGACGAGACCATTGGTACAGGAAGCTGCTGCTGCCCTCATGCACTAAAAGTTTTAGATTAGTGTATGATGTTTCTATATATGCTCATTTAGGTCAGCAGTCCATAAAAGGACGACAGACGTGTAATAATGGTCTGTGTCCATGCCCAATCTCTTTTATAAATGTATTACTTATTCTAAAACAAGGATTTGCAATTTATAATACCATAGAATTTATATTTGAACAGAATATATTCTGTCTCTTATAAGGTTGTTGGCTCTGAAATTTTTCGGGGTTCATTAGATGTGGTTAGGAACATAATGTGTTGGTTTTATATTGGAATTTTGTTGTGGTTTCGTGTTCCTGTGTAGATTTATTTTTTTTTTTTGGTTTTCTTTAGCTTCAGAACGGTTCTTATTTCCCAACCACTTCCATTAAATTCGAACAATAGTCTCTTTACCAGCTAAAAAGTCTGGAATTTTTTTGGATCCTGAATACAAACCAACAATGGGAATGATTTTGGGGGTTGGGATTTGTTTTTTCTTGTCTTTATGGCGGTTATCATCAGGAGTTCATGACTGTCAACTGTATTCACAAGTAAAAAAGTATTATCAACTGGGCATTGATGTTTTTGAGTTGTGTGTGGTTGTTTTTTTCTCAAGTTTTGCCTTCCTAGTTGCTTTACAAATGAACAATTGTGTGATTTTAATTTAATTTTACAGGAGGGTAGGATTTTTCTCTTCATGATTCATAACTCTATTCACGCGTAGGGATTGAAGACAGGAGATTTATGTGATCCTTGATATTTATTTATTTATTTATTTATTATTTATTGGGTAAATTACAGTGACACCCTCTGAGATTTATGTTTATTACAGTTCATTCCTTCACATTTAGAAAATTACACTGAGTCTCTGTTAATTTAATTTTATGTATGATGATCATTATGGTGAGGGGAGAGCTGTTATGAAACTTCAAATCTCAGAGAATAATCTGTTATGAAACTTTAAAACTCAAAAAAAGAATATAATTTTCAAAAATTAAGAAAAAAATTATAATAAACATAAATTTCAGGAGATGCCAATATAATTTATCCTTATTTATTTCTCCAATTACGTGTGGGATGAGCCAAATAATCCACCGAGTTGCTGTAGACGATAGTGATGGTTTATCATCTCCAGAATGCTCTAGTTCAGTGAGAAAAATGTGGAATAGGAAATTTGATATTCCCTACTTTATCAGACTATAAATTGCAAATGACAACCAGTTCAAAAAAAAAAAAAAAAAAAAAAATGACAGGTCATGGTAAGTAAACGGGACTTTCATCACTGTAGGGTTGGAGAAGGGTCCGACTGTGGTGCCCAAAAGTAATATTTGTATACCAGACATAAAATTTATTTTTAGCCATTAGATTTAGGGACGGAATCTGGGTTCCATTGCTCAACTGGTTAACCGGTTATAATCGGTGGAAAATCATTTCTAAAAAGTAATGTTAGAGTCCATTAGAAGTAATGTTTTAAAGTAATCATTAATGATAGGGGGATGCACCAATAAATTTCAAATTAATAACTTATGTACTGTTTAGTCCTAAAAGTTTTTTTATAGACTGAAAAGTCCCATTACAATGTTAATAACATCAGATACAATGTTAATAACATCAGAGTCATGTTACAAACATTGGATTTCAAACATCTAATGTTCATCAAATTTCAATAATGTTTGAAAATATAGGATGAAAAACATCTAATGTTCATCAGATTTCAATAAATTTTAAAATTATAGAATGAAACATCAGATCATTTACATCATTCACATCATGTTGATGTAAAAATAGGACTAAATGGAGCATAAGAAAACTTTTAAGACTAAATGGTTCAACGTTTCAAAAACTAGGACTTATGGGTAAATTTTTCTTAATGATATGGTATTTATTTTTTCAAAAAAAAAAAAAAAAAATATTGTGGCAATAGATGAGACTCACTACCACATTATTACTGGTGACACTAATTAATACTCCCACTTATTTTTCTTCCCAAAAACTCTCAGATAAATATGTGTATAATGATGACGTACGGGAGCTTCTATTTACACATTCACCTTTCCTTCTTTGCACACACTTCATAAAAGTTATTTTTATTATAATTTTTTTTTCAAGTGAAATTACTATTATAGACATCAAATAAACACATTCGGAAGTTGAATGTCGAAAAAATAATAAAAATTCGGAAATCTACTTCCGAACCAAGTGTTTATTTTCGGAAAGCTACTTCCGAACCAATTACTTATTTTCAGAAATCTACTTCCGAACCAATTATTTATTAAAAAAGATGTGTAAAGAGGGAAATGAGTGCGTGTAAATAGAAGCTCCCGATTACATACTGGCGAAATGAATTTACAATTGGAGAAATTACCATTTAGCCTAATGAACTAAAAATAATTACAAAAAGTTGGAGGTGCAATTTTTTATGTGAATTCATCCCACATCCTTTGGTAATTATTTTCCCCACCTTCTACTGTTTAGTGATTTCTCCTTAGCAATTAGGGGTTGTTTGGAACATCTTAAATAAGTGTACTTTTTAACTTTTTGAACTAAAAAATTAAAAAAAAAAGATGCACTTTGCTTGGTTCTCATTTTTTAAAAACAGTTTTCAAAAAATTCTACACTCTTATTTTTCGTATTTTTTTGTTTTTACTGAATTTTTTTAATATTTTATGCAAATTTTTTACTTTTTAGACACACCTAACATAAATACACCTAAAAAGTAAAAAAATTGTAAAAAAAATCTTTTAAAAATTCACTAAATACCAAAAATACAAAAAAAATACAAGAATTTAGTACATTTTTTGTATTTTTATGTATTTCTTAATTTTTTAAAATATTTTTTCACAATTTTTTTACTTTTTAGACACATCTAAGTAAGGTGCATCTAAAAAAATAAAAAAAATGTTTAAAATTTTAAAAATATTCACTAAAAACAAAAAAACACGAAAATCAAAAAACTCAGTTTTCAAAAAACTTAATTCAGAAAACTCAAACCAAACGCAGTGATGGTTGTTTGGAATAATTTTTTAACTTTTTACGAACAAATGTGTATTAAAAAATTATATAAATTAGTGTATAGAAGAAACTTAAGATAGAATAGACAGTACGGTGGATGTCTTAGCTAGCAACGTGTGCAGAGTAATGTATAGGAGATGGATGCTTCTTTTTCGAGCATTGAATTTGACGGTGTTGTTCGGCCTGTGAAGACAAACCACGGGTCCCGTTTTGCTAATCGGAACCGTGCAATGTGTAGAACTTGTAGAGTACTATATGCTTGTAAAAAATTATTTTGATCGAATATCGATAGCTATCTGATCGGATTAGTTTTTTGTCAACCGTTAATTATAATACCATCCATTTTTTATAGAAAACTAATTTGATCATGTAGTTAGCGATATACGATTAACGTGATTTTTTACAGGCATATAGTACTCGACGATTTCTATACATTGACGATTTAGATTATCAAAACGGGACCCGTGATGGGCCTCCGCGGGCTGAACAACACCGTCTTGTTTGCTTCTCCGCCTGTTCCCTTTGTACAAACAGTGGGCAGCTAATGTACAACTCACGTGACATGTGAGTTGTACTTTTTTTTTGTAAAATTAATTTTTATATATATATTTTTTTGATGAATAGTGATAACTTTTTAAATTTTTTAATAATTTTTTAATTTTTTGAGATATACCAAACCAGCTCTTAACTCCGTTTTGTTCTGTGCAATGAAAAGAAAAATTTAATTTTTAAATATTTTAATTTTTTATTATTTTTTTGTTTCTTAAAAGATTGAAAAAGTTTTGTGTAATTTTTTTCTTTGCGAGCTAATAGTTGGCCGGAATGTACAATTTGTTGATCCTTTAAATTTTCTTTTGAATCATAAGTTTTTAATTAGATTGAACCAGTAGAGAAATTTTCTGAAATTAAATTAATGTATTCAATCTTAATTTTTTTTAACTATTTTATACACAATAAAATACAAGTAAATAGATTTGACATAATTTGTTGATTTGACATAATTTGTTGTTTATTTGCATTTTTATAAAGCCGTTAAAATCAGGAATTGTTTCATTGCTTAGACTTGTATATTTAGATGGTGGCTGAATATCCTTCTGATCTTTTATCAAATGTAGCCTATATTCATTATTCACTACTTACTATTTAATTAAATCCTACTAACTACTCAATGAAATTTTACTTATTATTTCAAAAAAGATTTGATTTATCACTCAATTAAATCTCATTTACAACTCAACGAGACTCTATTAATTATTTCATTTGACTTGACTTACTATTTCATTAAATTCTACTAACTATTCTATTAGATTTCATTTACCACTTCATTAAGCTTTACTTACTACCTAATTAAACCTTGCTACTTGTTGATCCTTTAAATTTTCCTTCATTAGACTTAACTTACTAATCAATTAAACCACATTTACTACTTAATGAGTCTTCACTTACTATTTTATTAGACTTAGCATACTAATCAATCTCAATAGACTCCACTTACTACTCAATTAACTTTCATTTAATATTTCATTATACTTCACTTACTACTCAATTTTGGTTTCACTTACTACTTCACTAGATTTCACTTACTACTCAATGAGTTTCTACTTACTACTCAATTACTTACACTTCAATTACTACTCAATGAGCTTCCATTTACTATTTCACTAGACTTCACTTACTGCAAAATGAGTTTCCACTTACTACTCAATCAAATTTCACTTGCTATTTCATTACACTTCACTTACTACTCAATTTTAGTTTCACTTATTATTCAATGAGCTTCCATTTATTACTTCACTAGAGGCCCTATCATGAAATGGTTTTGCTCCTTTAACAAACTCAATCACTTCATATTTGCAAATATTTGGATTGTATTTGATATTAAAGGATGCATGACAACTCTAGTTAATCATTTCGATTCTCTTTTACAATCTTCTACCTTAAGGTATTTAGATTGTTGATGCCCTTCTTTTGAGCAAACCCATCTCCTCGATATAGCTATATTACTCTTGTCCTTGTACAACTAATCTCTTCGAATACTAAAACTTTTCACCTTTGCATATATATTGTAGAAACTTTTTTCATTTTCTATCGAATCTAATGTCATTTCAAATATATCTTTTTGCAGTTAGTTGATCCATACAGTTAACATCTCTTTCGGTTGGGAGATCATCAGAATTAACAATATTCCTCTTGTTTGCCAAGTTGTACTCACCAGTGTCAATATCATCATCATCATTATCACACTACAACATATAATACTTTTAATAACATAATTTTATAGCAT